CATATAGGAAACCCTAAGGGGTTGTACTCACTATTGAGCACCCCACTGCAGGCTAGACAATAACATTCTGACACACCCCCATAGCCAAAGTGAGGTGCAATCAGTACAATGAGCAGGCAGTGCAATAGTTCACAAATATGAGCAAAGCTAGTGGCAGTCACAGGAGGCCAGTGAGGAGGAGGAGGAACTGTGGAGGGAGAGATGAGAGGAGGCGACGACTGAAGTTGCAGACACACGGGCACCAGGAGCACCAGGTTGCAACCTCCTCCAACTGTCTCACTCCCCCCTACACTCACCCCCAGGGTCACCACTCGCTCCACGCCCACATCACCCCCCTAGCGCCACTCCCTCGTCTCCCACACATCCACCCCCCCGCAGCGGCAGCTGCAGCAGTGGGAGACGGAGGAGAAGGAAGGGGCGACGCACACGGAGCACCCCCACACCCGCCACCCCCACACTCTCCTGTCCAGGGGACGCAGGGGGGGGGGGGGGGGGGGGAGGGCCGTGGCGGGAGAGCGCACGAGGGCGCGGGCAACCGCGCGTGCCAAGCAACAGCGCGGAGCAGGTAGGGTAGAGCGCACGAAGGCGCGGGCAACCGCGCGTGCAGAGCAACAGCGCGGAGCAGGTAGGGTAGAGCGCACGAGGGCGCGGGCAACCGCGCGTGCAGAGCAACAGCGCGGAGCAGGTAGGGTAGAGCGCACGAGGGCGCGGGCAACCGCGCGTGCAGAGCAACAGCGCGGAGCAGGGCGCACGATGCACGAGGCACGAGGCACGAGGCACGAAGCACAAGGCACAAGGCACAAGGCACGAGGGCGCAGGTAGGTAGGTAGGTAGGTAGGTAGAGCGCACGAGGGCGCGGGCAACCGCGCGTGCAGAGCAACAGCGCGGAGCAGGGCGCACGATGCACGAGGCACGAGGCACGAGGCACGAAGCACGAGGCACGAAGCACAAGGCACAAGGCACGAGGGCGCAGGTAGGTAGGTAGGTAGGTAGAGCGCACGAGGGCGCGGGCAACCGCGCGTGCAGAGCAACAGCGCGGAGCAGGGCGCACGATGCACGAGGCACGAGGCACGAGGCACGAAGCACGAGGCACGAAGCACAAGGCACAAGGCACAAGGCACGAGGGCGCAGGTAGGTAGGTAGGTAGGTAGAACAAACGAACACAGGCAAAACAAACAAATACACGAGCAAGACGAACGAACACGGAGCGGGCTAGAAGCGACACATACAGCACGAGAGGAACAAGACTGCGGGTGACAGGAAAAGGAGGCGGCTGCACCGGGACCAGGAGCGGCGTCGCATGCAGCTGCAGGGTTGGCTGCTGCAGTGGCGGGCGGCTCCAGTGGCGGCTGCTGCTGTGGCGGGCGACTCCAGGGGCGGCTGCTGCAGTGGCGGGCGACTCCAGGGGCGGCCGCTGCAGTGGCGGGCGGCTCCAGGGGCGGCTGCTGCAGTGGCGGGCGGCTCCAGGGGCGGCTGCTGCTGTGGCGGGCGACTCCAGGGGCGGCTGCTGCAGTTGCGGGCGGCTCCAGGGGCTGCTGCTGCAGGTGCTGGCGGCTCCAGGGGCTGCTGCTGCAGTTGCGGGCGGCTCCAGGGGCTGCTGCTGCAGTGGCGGGCGGCTCGAGGTGCGCCATGGCCTGGCGCAGTCCGTACGGGCCGCGCGCGGGCCTGGCGCAGCCCGTACGGGCCGCGCGCGGGCCTGGCGCAGCCCGTACGGGCCGCGCGCGGGCCCTACGGAGGTCGCTCGGGCCACGACGGGCGACGGGGGGCGACGCGCGGGTCCCCGTCGCCCGTCGCAGCTCCTCCCGGGGGCGACTCGCGGAGTGACGGGGCAGAAAGCCGCCGCGCGCCTCGGGGCGCACGGCGGGCAGAAAACCGCCGCGCGCCTCGGGGCGCACGGCGGGCAGAAAACCGCCGCGCGCCTCGGGGCGCACGGCTGGTAGAGAACCGCCGTACGCTCCGAGCGCGCGGCGGGATGAAAAATTAGGGTTTGGCCGCCGCGCACCACGGGGCGCGCGGCGGACAGTACGGCAGCGGAAGCAGGTGGTGGGCCCATACAGGAAGGCGGCAGGAACGTGCCTGCTCTGAATACCATGTCAGGAATACTAGGAGTGGGGCCTAGGCTTAGTAGCCTAGGCCCACACTAGGAGGTAGTAGGTTGTGCCCTAGGACTAGGGTTTGTGGTATACGAAGGAGAATTGTGAGAATGGGAATGATGGTTGAACTAGCAAGCAGCAGGATACATATAGGAAACCCTAAGGGGTTGTACTCACTATTGAGCACCCCACTGCAGGCTAGACAATAACATTCTGACACCTGGCTCACCGCTGCCTGCTCCTTCTCCTTACACTGAGCAGACTGGTAGTCCTGCTGAGCGTCGTGAGCCTGCGTCGCGTCCTGTCTCGCCTGCTCGTCCTGGTCGTACCGGTCGTCGTGTTCCTCGTTCGCGTCAGCCGGCTGTCCCCAGCGCACGCCTCGTAGTCCGTCGTCCTTCCTCTGCTCTGCAGCCTGTTCCTCTGCCGTCTCCCCCTGCGTCCTCTCTGCCTGCCGTTCCGGACCCTGAGTCTGACAGGTTTCGTACTGAGCACCCTACTGTCACGCGTCTCCTAGCCACTGTTGTCACTGACCCGTCGTTTGAGTCTACTGTTGCGTCTGCCTTGGTCGCTAAGCTTGTTGACTTTGCTGCTGCCTGTCGTCTAGACTACGCGGCTAGTCTTGTTGCTGAGTCTGAGTCTGTCTGTCCTCCGTCCGTCGGGGGTGAGTGTGCTCTTAGCACGGACGTCCTTGAGGACAGGCAGGAGGAGTTCCAGTGTCTTGCTGCTGCTTTACCTCATCTTGTGTCCTCGCTACTTGCCCCTGAGGGAGACCCGGATGCACCAGACATCCCGACTCCGCGCTCTTACGCAGAGGCGATAGAGGGTCCCTACTCCTCTCAGTGGCAGGCAGCCATGGACGCAGAGATGACTTCCTGGAAGTCCACAGGCACTTATGTCGACGAGGTTCCCCCACCTGGGGCGAACATCGTCAGTGGCATGTGGATTTTCAGGGTGAAGCGGCCGCCGGGTTCTCCGCCTGTCTTCAAGGCGCGTTACGTGGCTCGAGGCTTCAGTCAGCGAGAGGGAGTTGACTTCTTCCAGACCTTCTCCCCCACCCCGAAGATGACCACTCTTCGGGTGCTGCTGCACGTTGCTGCTCACCGTGACTACGAGCTTCACTCTCTTGACTTCAGCACAGCTTTCTTGCAGGGTAGCCTGCACGAGGAGATCTGGCTGCGCCGCCCCCCGGGCTTCACTGGGTCGTTCCCTCCTGGTACCCAGTGGAGCCTCCGGCGGCCGGTCTACGGTCTCCGCCAGGCGCCACGTGAGTGGCACGACACACTGAGGACTACGCTTGCGGCTCTTGGGTTTGCGCCTTCTACTGCTGACCCGTCGCTGTTTCTGCGCACCGACACTTCCCTGCCGCCGTTCTACATCCTCGTGTACGTCGACGACTTGGTTTTTGCCACTGCTGACACTGAGGCTCTCGCCCACGTGAAGTCGGAGCTGCAGAAGAGACACACGTGCACAGACTTGGGTGAGCTGCGCAGCTACCTTGGCTTGCAGATCACCCGAGACAGAGCACGTCGCACCATCACCTTGACTCAGTCACACATGGTGCAGCAGGTCCTTCAGCGCTTCGGCTTCACCTGGTCTTCAGCACAGGCCACTCCTCTGGCTACAGGTCACACGCTCTCAGCTCCACCTTCGGACGAGTCCGTAGAGCCGAGTGGTCCTTACCCAGAGCTAGTCGGCTGCCTCATGTACCTGATGACTTGCACTCGACCTGACCTCGCGTACCCTCTTGGTCTCCTGGCTCGCTACGTGGCTCCTGGTCGGCACCGACCTGAGCACATGGCTGCTGCTAAGAGGGTACTGCGTTACTTGTGCAGCACATCAGGCATGGGGCTAGTGCTTGGAGGGACGAGCCCAGTTGTCCTCACTGGGCACTCAGACGCTTCTTGGGTTGACGACCTGGCTACTCAGCGGTCGTCACAGGGTTACACCTTCAGCCTTGGCTCTGGTTCAGTTTCGTGGCGTTCTACACGCTCGTCTTCAGTTCTCGGCTCCAGTTGTGAGGCTGAGATCTACGCCACCGCCATGGCTGCACAGGAGTTATGCTGGCTCACCTACCTGCTGACTGACTTGGGAGAGCAGCCTCGTTCTCCTCCAGTGCTGTACGTTGACAACAAGGCCGCCATTGCCTTGTGTGAGGAGCACAGACTGGAGCACAGAACGAAGCACATTGCTCTGCGGTACTTCCTGGCTCGAGAGTTGCAGCAGCGAGGCCAGCTTCGTCTTCGCCACGTGGCCACTCGGGCCAACATTGCTGATATATTCACCAAGGCACTTCCGTCTGGTGATCATCAGCGCTTTTGTACTCTGTTAGGCCTTGTGCCTACGTTTCCACACTTGCTGTAGTCTCTGCTTGTACTGTGATCTGTACATATATATATATGCATGCTGGCTCTTGCTAGGTAGCCATCACTGTACTGTTATTGCTGCATATATATCTCTGCATGTGAACTGGCCCTGTGGCCCTTTGCTTGTGCTCGGAATGCGTGGTGACGTTGTGATCCACCCTGAGCTTGTTTTGCTTCTCTTGACTGGTCGTGTGACCTCTTGTTCTCCCCCACTTTGCCTATGGGGGTGTGTCAAACTATATGTGCTGCATATTGTCTAGGCTGTAGTGGGGTAGCACATATGGGGTGCAACCCAATTAGGGTTTACTACTTGTACTCCTGCATCCTGTTAGTTCAGTCATTCCTGCTGCTAGATTCTAACAGACACATGCTGCCTGTACCACGGCCTCTGCTCACCGCCCTCTCTACAATCACGCCCGCCACAAAGTGCAGCTCCCTCGTGCCAAACCAGGGGCACCTGGGGCACCTGGGGCACCTGGGCCACCTGGGCCCAATCCTTTCACCCATGGTTGGCATGGCACTGCATACATGAAAATATTTCTGCTCACCCCCTCACTACAATCACATCTGCCACGAAGCGTAGCCCCCTGGTGCCATTGACACAGTAGGAGTCAACGAGAAACGCCGCGTCCACTGTGGCCCCTGCTGGTAGCGCAGCTGCTACCGTGTGTGGGTCCACGGGCAGGTGCAGCTGCTGAGGGTCACTGGGCAGGTGCAGATTCTGCTGTGCGGGTGATTGCTGGTAGCTGTCGTAGGTGCTGGTGTCTGTGGGAGAGCTGGTGCTGACAATGGCTGGGTTGAGAGCGGTTGCGAGCGGTGCAGCACAGGAGAAGAACTTGGTGCGCCAATCAGCATCCCCTCTCACACCGTCAGCTGCCAGCCTGGCAAGGAGCGGTGGGGGATGGGATGGGGGTGGACCAGCGAGGAAGGAAGGGATGACGTGCAAGGGAGGGTTGAGAGGAAGTTCACGGGGAGGAGGGAAGGGGAGAGAGGGAGGAGGTGAAGGAGGGGGATGAGAGGAGATCCAGAGGTGAGAGGAGATCCAGAGGTGAGAGGAGATCCAGAGGTGAGAGCGCGGAAGAGGAAGCGAGATGGCGTGAGCAACGGCAAGTAGCGCGAGCAAGCCATCACTCAAGCGCCACACAGACCCCTGAGAGCCTCTCTCACCAGTCACAATGGATCTCACCAATCCCCACCCCACCACACCCCTGAGATGCTGACCCCCTTCCCCTACCCCTTTCCAAATTGACAGGAGAATCAATGCCCACGCTGCACACGGCACGCAGCGACTCACAGAGCCCACCAACCGACACAAGTCTGGGATTGGGAATTGGCCCGACCAATAACCAATAACCAGTAAGCAGTAACCAGTTACCTGTCACCGGTAACCAGTATCCTATAACCAGTAACCAGTTACCAGTAACCAATAATCACTAACCACTAACCAATATCCAATAACCAATAACCAAAAATGAATAACCAGTAAACCATATCCAATAACCGATAACCAGTAACTGTTCAGCAACCCCTCTCGCATTCGCCCAACACTAGACTCACTTGACGCGGATCACTCTCGTGCCGTCCTCCTCCTCCCACGCCGCCACAAAGGGCGACCGCACCTCCTCGCCACACCCCCCGCCGCTCTCCTCCTCCCCTGCGCCCTCCACGCGGCGTTCCTCCCCTCGTGCAGCAGCAGCCCCCTTGCCACTCCCCACACACGCCAGCAGAGCGTCAAAGCAGGCAGTGATGGCGGCAGCAGCGGCAGGTGAGATGGCGAGGAGCAGCGAGAAGGACGGGCGGCCAGTTGCCTCGTCAAAGGCAAAGCGGTCCGACACGCTGGTGGGGGGGACGTACGAGGGGGGTTGAGACGGGAGGAGAGGGCGTGAGGGGCGAAGGACTACCGGCCGGCCTGTTGCCTCGTCAAAGGCAAAGCGGTCCGACACGCTGGTGGGGGGGACGTATGAGGGGGGTTGAGACGGGAGGAGAGGGCGTGAGGGGCGAAGGACTACCGGCCGGCCTGTTGCCTCGTCAAAGGCAAAGCGGTCCGGCACGCTAGCGGGGGGGAGGGGAGGAAAAGAGGGGAGAGAGAGGGGGAAGAGGGGGGGAATGGGAAGGAGAGGGGAAGAAGGGAGACGAACGGCCGAACCGTGGCCAAAGGCAAAGCCCTCCGACACACTGGTAGGGAGAGTGGGGGGAGAGCACATTAGGGAAGACAAGACATGAGGAGGGGGAAGATTACGAGGACTAGAGTTGACTGGAGGCACCACTACAAGTCCAGAACGGGGTACGGAAGGAAATGAAAGAAGAGGAAAAGCAGGTTTCCGTGAATGTAGGGAAAAGTCAAAGGAAGACAGCAATGCAAGGGAGAAGAGAACAAGAGGCCGCGAGGAGGGAAAGAGCAAAGGCGTACAATCACAGGCTCTCATTGAGCTCGTCCAGCATCTATTAGGCACACTCCCATTCCTTCGTCTTTTAGCAAGATAGCTTGTCGCATGGTCAACACAAGTCACCGTGTCGCACTCTACTGAACTTCTCAATTCCAATAAACCCCAAACAACAACACTCGTGAGCGCTTGAGCCACGCTCACCTCATCTTGATCCTCGCACCGCACTCCCTCACATGCAGCGATCGGCCCGCGGGCTTTATATCTTGCTTACACATCAACCATCTTAGATTTCCAGGCGACTTTCAGGTCTATGGAAGGCCTCACAAAAGAGGTCCTACCGAGAATTGAACTCGGCCTTTCAGATTCAGAGTCTGACGTCATAACCACTAGACCATAGGACCACGAGTAATGCCTGCAAGTTTTTGTAAATTACGCATAAGATACCAGTGTAAGCCAGCTAAGTGCATGGTGATGAGCAGGCAGCAGGTACACATGCCAACATGAGATGGGCCATGACACAGCAAGGGCGAGTAAGCTCACCAGCATGAGCATGGCGGAGCACTGCTTGAAGACATCAATATTCATCCGCACATCCTCCATCGCCCTGCCATGCCATGCCATGCAGTTGACATAGGCAACGCAAACACAGCGAAGAGAGTCAACATAATGAATGCAATGAGCCAGGTCAATGTCATCAACAGGACGAGCCCAAACAGGTATAGACGCAAACTGACAGCAGCAGCACCTTCGGGTCAGACCATTCTCCTCGAATCTCACAACTCACGACTCTAGAGGTGAAACCTGCCTCCGAACTCCACACAACCAACCCAGAATCCCTGACCTTCACTGACCTGGTTCAAATCAATTCATGGCTGCCTCAACTCAGCTTGATTCAACCCAACTCACAACTGACTCAGCGTGACCCAGGACCCACCTGTGCACTTGCATGCCCAGGACCCACCTGTGCACTTGCATGCCCAGGACCCACCTGTGCACTTGCATGCCCAGGACCCACCTGTGCACTTGCATGCCCAGGACCCACCTGTGCACTTGCATGCCCAGGACCCACCTGTGCACTTGCATGCCCAGGCCACAGTAGGCTCCCAGCGATGCCATCTGTTGGGATGAACGCGGGGGGGGAAGGAAACAAACAGACAAGCCAAAAAAGGGGGAGTGCACCAAGAATCATGGCGAGAATATGATCAGAGGATAATAAGATGGGAAGACCTATTGATAATAAGAGTGTTACACTTGATCGCAGTCCGATTGCCACTGCCAGCACTGACGCCTCCCCCTTCCCTCCTCCCCTCTCCCACCCACCCCCCTCCCAACTCCCCCCTAAACGGCATGAAGTCGTACTTCCCCACTAATCCAGCACGCACATGCTGCTCCCTAACAGCCCCTAACAAAAGCACCTATTCTTGGCAGAGTGTGCGGTTCATACCTTGCGATAACCCACCCCCGTGACGGATCCCTGCAGCACATTCAGACACCCAGCACATCACATTGCACCGCACGAGATGGCGAGTCTTGTCCACGTCTCACCTTGCCTCCTTTCATTGTCCCTACAGCCCTCACCTTCATGCTCACCCTTCACATTCACCCATCACCTCGCTCACCTTCAACTTGCCAGCTCTCACACCCAGCACGCCATGAGCAAGGCATGAGACATGGTGGCATGGCCTCCATGATGTGCTGCTACCACACCACCCTCACTGTCATTCAGTTCATGTTACCACCTCTCATTCGCACGGCACACAGCACAGCACACACTCGGCCCGCCTTCATGTCGCAAGCTCTGGTGCCCAACTCCCTCCTCAGCAGGTCGTACGTGTTCACCACGCCAGCGGGCACGGCGGGAACATGTGACATGCTAGCCTATCCTCATTCGCTGCGCTCACCACGCCACACCCTCACCTTCATGTTGCCAGCGCGCGTGCCGAACTCCCGTCTCAGCAGGTCGTAAGTGTCCACCACGCCAGCCGGCACGGGCGGCGCGCGGCCCAGGCCGTTGAACGCCTCTCGGATGCGCGCGTTGTCAAACCGGCTGATGTTGTGCCCCGCCCACACCTTGCCTGGCGCCCAAACGAGCACGGAGAGGAGACACATGGAGCACGACGGTAAGGGGATCTCAACTTGATTAAATAAGAGATGACGCGAGGCGACGCGACCTTGAGATGCCTAATCATGTGGCTCATGCCTTAAAAAAATAGCAAGAGGCGGTGGAGATGGGAGCGGGAATGAGTGCCCGATGAAAGTGACTGCGATAAACCATGGCGAAAAGCAATTAAGAGGTGACGTCATCAAGACGTACCGTCCATGAGCTCATAGATCGTATCCGCCACTTCGCCGAAGCTCGGCGCGTTGCGCACCGAGTCGCTCGTGATCCCGTTGATCTCCACCGTCCGTCGCGAAATCCGGACCCCATCCGGCGGGCGCAGGTACGTGGAGTAGCTCGAAGTTTCGTAGAAACCCTCGATTTCGAGCTCGACGGCTGCGAATTCGAGCATCGCGTGCTTCTCGCCTCGCGAGGCCGGCACGGTCGTCTCGACGTCGTAAAACACTATCGCGCGCCGCGACCTACCGCTCGAACTCGCGCCGACACGCGGGGGAGAGGTGGAGAGAGATGGCGCCATGTGTGCAGGGAGAATGAGTCACGGGGTAGGCGGAGAAACGACGGGGCGTGCTGTGAACAAAGAGAAGACGAGGAGGACGCGAGGAGTAGACGGGTATCGGAGGGGGTTCCTATTGTAGGGTTGAACGAGGGGAGGGAAGCAGAGGCGTGATGCTTGGAGGTGAGGGCGTGGACGGGCATGGTTGCGAGAAACACGGCGGAGTCTCGGACTAAAATTGGAGGGTAACGCGAATTTGGCGGGGAGCCAAGCAGAGGAAGGGTGATGGGTGAGAATGTGACTTCACTCTGACGCGAGCCTCGGATGTGGCTCGGTGTGGCTCACACAGCAGCACAGCCGAAGCACGCCCAAACCAACCAATTGTACGCCGAGCCAAACTCTTCATGGCTCGGGGGAAAAGTACCAAGGCACCACAGACCCCTCCAAGGTCCCGAGCCGAGCGTGTCAAGAAGCACAGCGCACCTCTGAAACCAGCGGTACCGCGCTGAAAATTCTAATAACGTCTTCGCTACCAACAGCCTCGACTTGGCGAACTCGGCTTGGTTTGGGCCCCAGCACCCTCTGTGTAACAACACATAAACAATTTTCTTTTTTTGGTGTCATACTTTGTATCATAAATTGCAAAGCAGCATTGTATTCAACTAGTACTATAAGTATGGTACTCTGAGGCGAAACAGCCCCAGAGATTTTACAGCAGTGGCATTAAATGCCCTCTTTCCCGAGGGATTAACTTCTGCAGCAAACCACACGGATGGAGTATGGTTTGGTATGAACAACAAAATGGTACCGATACATTCCCAAACCCAAACCCAAACCCAAACCCTACACATGCTCCTAGATCATGGCGCTAAAGATGCCTTCATATCCTCTAGATACTATGACTTGAAACCCTGCTACGCAACTAGTTGCGGTAGCCGATGCCAAAGTGGAAGCGAGGAGGAACCTTCTGGTCGTAGGGTTGAACGCGGCGCACTCCAGGCGTAGAGGACCCACCAATTCATACAAATGTAAATTTTTGAAAGTGTGTAACACTTTCTAAAATTGTGTATTGTGAATAGCGAAGATATTTGTACCGAAGCAAAATGCTTCGGCGAACCGCTACTTCCCCTCTTTTTCGGTATAAAAGAGGGGGCGAAGGCCATTTGGCCTTCACCCACGTTTTTCATTTCAAACTTTCAGTTTTCAAGTTCTCGATTTTTTTCGTCCAAGCTGGCGAGGACTAAGAGCCTTCCTCGCTTCACTTCTCCATCGACGCTCCTCTCCGACATCCTCGACTGCAACCTTTCCACTATGGCGCCGACGAACAACAATAGCCCCGGGGCTAAGGACGCAACTCCTCGACCTTCTTCGGGGCTTGAGAAAACGACCCGGGAAACCGGCGCGGAGAAGCGAAAACGCCCCACCGAGGAAAACGCCGAGGGCCCCAGCACTGGGGTGGACGTGCTGCTCGGCGAGGGCGGCGGCACACGCTCGCGCGCTCCCCAGCCACGCGCGTCCCACGAGCAGGCTCATGGGCCTGCAGTCGCCAATGATGACGACTTCGTCGTCATCACTGGCGCTGACGCGGGAGGATCGCGCGCCACCCCAAAGCGGAGGGCGACGGATTCGCCTGCAACCGAAGGGGCGGCGGCGAATCTTTCGCCCTCACAAGTGGCGGCACTGCTGGCGCTCCTCCAAAAGCAGGCCGCGGCCCCCGTTACAACGCCAGCAGCTACAACAGAAGCGGAAAATTTCGCTTCCGCTAAAACTGCAAACATTCGCAACAACGTCGCCACTTCCGCAAGAGTCGCCGCATCTCACCGCGCCGACAAGGGAAAGGCGCCAGCCGTCGAAGATGAACCCGCTGCACCCGACGACGCTGATTCCGACTCCGACAGCGATGCGGGTGAGGAACCAAACAATCCTATGCCCCTCGTGCCTAATGATCTCCTCCCCCCTCTCCCCTCTCCTCACCCTTCCACCGCGGCCGCCGCCTTCAACCGCAAAGGCGTCCGTGACCAGGCGGAGGTGTTCGAGGCACTTCAGACCTACCTGGCACAAGTGGAACACAAGATCCGCGGAGGCGACGCCGCCGGTGCTCTTAAAACCGTCGGTCAAGCTCAAGACCTCATCAAGCGCCGCTTCGACGTCTTGGTCGTCGCCGACCATGCCGGGTTCGACGTGGCTGAGCGCTACCAGCTCCTCAAGACTACGGCGGTGCTCACCTCACGCTCCTTCAAGATGGCGGTGGCGGATATGGCAGCCCTCAAGCGTATGAAGACCGGCTTCGCCCGCGGGAGCCGTCCGTTTCACCGCGACTCCCCCCACTTCGTGCCAAAGACCATGGGCAGCGGCAACGGCTGTCGGGGCTTCAAGGGAACCTGTTTCCGCTGCGGCCAGAATGGCCACATGGCTAGCGCATGCCCCCATGGAGGCCATGGGGGCAATGGGCCCGCACCGGTGGTGTGAGATAAGCCCCAAGCAACCTCGCCCTCCCATCTCCCCGCACCCAAGGTTCTCATACCTTGGCTGCCTTTGATGGAGGGTGGGGTGTGGGCTGGGCCGGGTGTGGACCAGGGGTCCTTGGTAGTGGCTGCTTAGCCAAAAGCTAGAGGCATGGAGTGCCCTAGGCTGTTTGTGTACGTGTGTATGCGTGTGTGTGCGTTTTTACGCAAAGCCCGGGTGGCTATGAAGTTGTATTTCTAATTATAATGGAATGTTGCTCAGGTCATTGGCCTTGGATATCCAGCCTGTGACAAGTTATGTCACCAAAAAAAAAAAAAAAAAAAAGAGAGAGAGAGAGAGAGAGGGAGAAGGGTATGGGAAGGCAACGACCAACTCAATAGCATGAGAAAGTCACAACGCTTCGCATGGCAAGGCATAGTGAGTTCCCGTGGCCAATAGTGCCGGTTGTTACCAAGCCATCCAGCTGACATGCCTTGCGAGAGAGAGAGAGAGAGAGAGAGAGAGAGAGAGAGAGAGAGAGAGAGAGAGAGAGAGAGAGAGAGAGAGAGAGAGAGAGAGAGAGAGAGAGAGAGAGAGAGAGAGAGAGAGAGAGAGAGAGAGAGAGAGAGAGAGAGAGAGCGCGCGCGCAACGCGCATGGACCCTCGCTTGAACGGTTCTCACTTTGACACCCACAAAGAGGGGTGATACATGTTGTATCCAACAGATTCTTAGCCGCACCTCACTCACGTGCACTCGCAACCTCATTACCCTTATCAAAACCACGAGGTGCATGTCGTTATGCGTGAATGACCTGCTCATACGTGCGCGTTGATACATTTCACGTAATTTGAACGTCATGGTTCGATCCTGTACCTCTGCCATCCCGCAACGAAACACCCCATGGCAGCCACAACGCCTTCATGGTCCGGGGAGCAGGACGAGATCTTGGCAAATGCGGTTACCGATCGTGATGTCACAACCATGGGTGGTCGCCTCCGACAGGCGTTCGCTTGGTGGGCTTCCTGGTGCGAGAGCTCCTTGATCCTGTCGGTCATTGTCAATGGATATTGGCTTCCTTGGAAGGCATTCTCACCACCGCCGTTCCGTGAGCAAAATCACGCCGGAGTCTTGAAGCACACCGACTTCACCCGATCGGCAATTCAGGAATTGCTCACGTCAGGAGCAGCAGCAGTTGCATCTAGCTCATCGGCCGTTACATGCATCAGCCCACTCAACGTTGTGGAACAACGCAACAAGTGCCGCCTCATTCTCGACTTGCGAAAGGTCAATCAATACCTAATTGTCCCCAAATTCAAGTACGAAGGACTTCTTCGTGTCGCTGAACTGGCGAAGCCGGGCGACTGGATGTTCTCGGTTGACTTAAAGTCTGGCTATCATCATGTCGATATTCACTCATCTTGCTGGTCATTTCTAGGTTTTCACTTTGAAGGCACCGACTATGTTTTCAAGTCGTTGCCGTTCGGCCTCGCTACAGCGCCCTTCCTGTTCACCCAGTTGATCAAGCAGTTGGCACGGAAATGGCGAGCGCAAGGCATTCGGGTCATACCCTATGTGGACGATATATTGTTCCTTTGCGACTCGGAACAGGACGCTCGTTTGAAAAGTGGTGCAGTCATTCGAGACCTCAAGGAGTCGGGGCTCGTCATCAACGCAAAAAAGTCGCACCTGATCGCGACTCAAAAATTGCACTTCCTCGGAATGGAGCTGGACACCGCATCCGGAAGGTTCACTATCGGCCAGGAGAGAAAGGCGCAACTCACACAAGCACTACATGTGCTGCTTCTCGCCTACGAGCGCAACCAGCGGGTATCAATCCGCCTCGTCGCCCGCGTCACCGGCATCCTTGCATCCATGGCGCTCGCCCTTGGTGCGACGGCGCGCTCTTTCAGCCATCAACTTTTGACACTCATTAATGAGGCGCCATCATGGAATGCACGAGTGACCCTGACCTCGGAAGTTCGCGACGAGCTACAATTTTGGTCTGACCACTTCGACCATTTTAACGGGGCTCCTTTTCACATGCCCCACAGTCTGGACACGGTCATTCACGTCGACGCTAGCGCACACAGTTGGGGTGCAACCCTTTCATCCTTCCCCGGCGGAAGCTCGCAAGGAAGCAGCCCCATGCCAAAAGAACTTCTCTCCACATCGAGCACACGCCGAGAGCTCGAGGGAGTGCTATGGGCACTGCAGACGTTCAAGGACCAGATCCAAGGTCGCCGCGTACTCATGCGAGTAGACAACCAAGGCGTCTTCTTCATTCTGCGCAAAGGCGGCTCTCGCCAGCCTGAGCTCACTCTTCTGTGCAAGGCCATCGTCGCAATTTGCATGGCGCACGAAACCCGTCTGGCCATCGAATGGATTCCACGTGCTCTCAATACGCATGCAGATGCACTGTCCAAATTGGAAGACCACGACGACTACTCGCTCAAGCTCCCCTGGTTTCGATTATTGGAAAGGCGTTGGGGATCACACACCATCGACCTATTCGCCAATGCCAACAACGCACAGCTCCCGCGCTTCTGCGCTAAACATCCGCACCCACGTGCAACTGCCATAAATGCATTCTCGCTCGATTGGGGATTAGAGCACGGCTTCGCGTTCCCGCCGCCGAACCTCATCCCAGCGACCTTGCACCATGCCGCACGCACGAACGCCACGATGACACTAGTCGTTCCCGAATGGACAGGCGCTGCTTGGTGGCCCCTAATCAGACCTTCCCCACACACCTGGGCAATCGGCATCTCCTCCATCCTCTACCTTGCTAGTGGTAGTCAATGCTTGCATGTGGGCTCCCATGAACATGCATTCTCGGGTGCTGGTCTTCCAGTCAGTCGTATCTTAGCACTGAAATTCAATTACAAACCTTGATGTACCATTCTTGTATCCTATGATTACAGATATGCTTCCAAGGTTGCATCACCAGCTACTTCTTATGACAGCCAAGACACGATCGGAATCAACAATCAACACATACGAACCGTACTGGGAGAAGTTTCGCAGCTTTTGCATGAAGGCCAAAGTGGATTTCTTGCCTGCCGCAGATCTCACGCTTGCACTCTACTTAGTGCACGCAATCAACCACCAGGCCACAGTCTCCAGCGTACAGCTCACATGCGCTGCAGTCAGCTTTGCCCATCGCATGACAGGGTCAGCCAACCCAGCGAACGGCCCGTTCACAACGCAAGTCCGAGAGTACGCCAAACGACACTGCCCTCGGCCTACACGAGTGAAAGAGCCCGTCTCCCTCCATCAAGTCCAGGCAATGGCGGGGCCTTTTCTCCAGTCACGCGAACCCGGCACCTACCAGAAGGGCCTCATCGTGCTGCTCATGTACTCGGCCTTCCTTCGCTTCTCGGACCTGGTGTCCATCCAGTGGGAGGACATCCAGTTCGAGGCTACGGCAATGTGGCTCCTAATTCCGCACTCCAAAACCGATCAGGAGAGCAAGGGCGTATGGGTCCTCGTTGCCGCGACTGACGGACCATTCTGCCCCGTGCGGTGCACCAGGCACTTCATCAAGCTGGCACAGTACGGGCCAAAGACCAAAGGCCCGTTAATTCGTATTTTTCGACGCAACTTCCCGCCATCCTCGCAGGATACCGCCCCATCATACCCCACTGTCCGCACGTGGTGCTTGCAGGCATTCCAAGCAGCCGGCATCGACCCTACAAACCTCGGCACCCATTCATTCCGCAAAGGGGCAGCAACAGTTGCAGCGAGTACGGGCATCCCGGACCGCCTTTTCAAAAGACTAGGGCGATGGCGGAGCGAAACCGCGAAGGACCTTTATGTCACCATCTCCCACGATCACCTCCTTGCTGCGTCGCGGCGCCTTCACGATCAGGCGCACGTTCCGTCCCCCTCGCAGCATGAGCGTGCCCTTACTCGACACCGCCAACAAGCACTCACCATGTCTCAGAAAACCCAGTTGAAATGAGACGTTGCATTTGCAAAGACAAATAGCAAGCCTTCACAATATGTAAATTTTTGAAAGTGTGTAACACTTTCTAAAATTGTGTATTGTGAATAGCGAAGATATTTGTACCGAAGCAAAATGCTTCGGCGAACCGCTACTTCCCCTCTTTTTCGGTATAAAAGAGGGGGCGAAGGCCATTTGGCCTTCACCCACGTTTTTCATTTCAAACTTTCAGTTTTCAAGTTCCCCACCCTCCCACCCTAGTATAGTAGAGAATTCATCGTTGTTACTATGTAATATGCTTGGACGATAAAAAATCTTGTACTTGCCAGTTGAAATGAGACGTTGCATTTGCCAGTTGAAATGAGACGTTGCATTTGCAAAGACAAATAGCAAGCCTTCACAATTGGCAATCAGTGCTTGTCAAGAGGCTACAGTGACTTCACATGCTCTACTCTAGTTGCGGTAGCCGATGCCAAAGTGGAAGCGAGGGATCTTCTGGTCATTGAACCCTGCTGCGCTGCCCCAGTTGTGGTGGCCACTGCCAAAGTGGGAAGCGCGGGATCTACTGGTCGTAGAGTTGAAGTGCTGCGAGGGTTGTGACACACTCAACGCGTACTCCAGGCGCAGCGGACCCACCAATTCATACAATGGCAATCAGTGCTTGTTAAGAGGCTACAGTGACTTCACATGCTCTACTCTAGTTGCGGTAGCCGATGCCAAAGTGGAAGCGAGGGATCTTCTGGTCGTTGAAGGCGTACTCAAGGCGCAGAGGGCCCAGTGGTGAGTCCACCCGCACTCCCGCGCCCAGCCCAAAACCCCTCCCTGGCTTGCCCCGTGCCCCTGCTGGGTCACCTGGGGGGGGCAGAGGGGTTCGAATGATGGTAATATCAATGAGATGGAATTCGTCAGTAATTTTTGTATATAAAAAAAAAACTCTATGTGCCAGTCCAATGCACTGCCCAAAGCCCAAAGCCCCTCCCTGGCTTGCCACCCGTCCATGTTGGGTCGCTTGGGGAAGGGAGAGGGGTTTAGATGAAGGTGATATGCATGACACGGGATGAGGGGAAAGGGGAAAACATGAGGTATGCAGAGAGGGAGAGCATACGAACGGTGCATTCGCATCAGCGGGCGATTTAAGAGCATCAGCGGGCGATTTACAACTAGCAACCTTTGCTGACCCTCCGGCATTCTCTCACCTGCAAGCATTCTCTCACCTGCAAGCATTCTCTCATCCACATGCATGCTCTCACCAGCAGAACCTTGCCGTACCTAGCACAGTGGCTCCCGAGCCTAGATCCGTGCCATAGTCCGCAAAGAAAGCACCCTCCAGTGGGCCGAACTGCAGGTGGCGTGGAGGGAGAGGGGGGGAGAAGTGGGCGAGTGATGGAGGGAATGGGATGACGGGAAATGAGGGCGTGATGGTGATGGGTGCTGCAGGAAGCGCGGGCGGAATGACAGACAGTCGCGCGGGGAAGTCACTCCTTGGTGCTGCACGGTGATGCATGTGCAGCTCAGCCAGCAAGAACTTCCTGGGAAGATGAAAGCACAGCTACGCCTACGTGGCAAAAGCACAACAGCTTGTTATCAGGTGGAGTGAATTGGATGATGGGTCACCCTGGTGGTACGGAATGTGTGGACGCGGGGAGCATCACAATGCTACTGAAAAACAAGGGACGGGGTCCATTATTTGGGTAGAGTTGCATGGTCTCTTTACATTCATGTGAACCACATCAGCCGGGGCTGGCGAGGGATACAGGGAAGGAGATGGAGGTACCAGGGGTAACAGGAGGCTTGCGGTTACCAGCGGGAACAAGATGGGGGGCAAAAGGGGACGGAGAAGAAGGGGCTACCATGGGGAAGGAGACCTCCCCGCTGGTGACGATGTACGATCGCCCCGACCCCACAGCGCCCTCATCATATCCGCGCACGCTGTTGGTGCCGCCGATGGGAAACGCCTCGTGTGGTGCCAGGTCGCCCACCACTGTTCCGCCTGAGAAACTGTGAGGGGGGGTGAGGGTAGAGGTTTGAGGTGCCTCAAAAGCCAATGGGAAGTGCCTCGTGCGGCGCCAGGTCACCCACCACCGTGCCGCCTGAGAAGCTGATGCGGAAGGGGTGTGGGTGGTGCGGAGGGTTGTGGAAGGGTGATGGTGATGGAGAGGTAGGATAGGAGGACGAGCTCAGGAGTGTGGGAGGGGTGCGGCAGCAAATCGCCCACCATGGTGCCACCCACCCCCATGAAGCTTGCGACATGGGGAAGGCGGCGAAGGCAGGTTGCGTTGAGGGATGAAGGTGGTGGAGAGGTGGATGGAGTGTGAAGGGGTGAGAGGGGGGGGGGATTGAGGAGGAATGGGGTGGAGTGGAGGAAAGCTCGGGCAACAAACACAGAAGCAAAGGTGGATGGAAATTGGGTCACCAAGTAGGGATGGTGGAGTCATCCCAGGTTGAGCGTCCATGCCATCGCAGTGCAGGCAGATGCACCCACTCACTCCACCCCCTCACCTGTCCCCCCCCCCCCACACCTGCCACTTAACGGCCCACCTGCCGATGAGCCGCGCGTGGCCGATGCGGAAGCCGTTGCGCGCGCGGGCGTTGATGCGGTTGAAGAAGAGCCAGTCGGGCGCGATGGGGATGGCCTGCCCTCCAACCCCCCTGCCCTGCCCTGCCCTCCAACCCCCCCCTTGCCAGCGGCCCACCTGCCGATAAGCCGTGCATGTCCGATTCTGAAGCCGTTGCGCGCGCGGGCGTTGATGCGGTTGAAGAAGAGCCAGTCGGGCGCGATGGGGATGGCCTGCTCCGTGCTCAGCACGAGCTGCGAGGGGGGATGGGGGGAAGGCAATGGACGGGGTTTTGGGGTTTCCAAGGGGAGAGTGGGTGCAGGCAAGTGGGCGATGGGGATGGCCTGCTCCGTGCTCAGCACGAGCTGCGAGGGGGGATGGGGGGAAGGCAATGGACGGGGTTTTGGGGTTTCCAAGGGGAGAGTGGGTGCAGGCAAGTGGGCGATGGGGATGGCCTGCTCCGTGCTCAGCACGAGCTGCGAGGGGGGATGGGGGGAAGGCAATGGACGGGGTTTTGGGGTTTCCAAGGGGAGAGTGGGTGCAGGCAAGTGGGCGATGGGGATGGCCTGCTCCGTGCTCAGCACGAGCTGCGAGGGGGGATGGGGGGAAGGCAATGGACGGGGTTTTGGGGTTCCAAGGGGAGAGTGGGTGCAGGCAAGTGGGCGATGGGGATGGCCTGCTCCGTGCTCAGCACGAGCTGCGAGGGGGGATGGGGGGAAGGCAATGGATGGGGTTTTGGGGTTTCCAAGGGGAGAGTGGGTGCAGGCAAGTGGGCGATGGGGATGGCCTGCTCCGTGCTCAGCACGAGCTGCGAGGGGGGATGGGGGGAAGGCAATGGACGGGGTTTTGGGGTTCCAAGGGGAGAGTGGGTGCAGGCAAGTGGGCGATGGGGATGGCCTGCTCCGTGCTCAGCACGAGCTGCGAGGGGGGATGGGGGGAAGGCAATGGACGGGGTTTTGGGGTTTCCAAGGGGAGAGTGGGTGCAGGCAAGTGGGCGATGGGGATGGCCTGCTCCGTGCTCAGCACGAGCTGCGAGGGGGGATGGGGGGAAGGCAATGGACGGGGTTTTGGGGTTTCCAAGGGGAGAGTGGGTGCAGGCAAGTGGGCGATGGGGATGGCCTGCTCCGTGCTCAGCACGAGCTGCGAGGGGGGATGGGGGGAAGGCAATGGACGGGGTTTTGGGGTTCCAAGGGGAGAGTGGGTGCAGGCAAGTGGGCGATGGGGATGGCCTGCTCCGTGCTCAGCACGAGCTGCGAGGGGGGATGGGGGGAAGGCAATGGACGGGGTTTTGGGGTTTCCAAGGGGAGAGTGGGTGCAGGCAAGTGGGCGATGGGGATGGCCTGCTCCGTGCTCAGCACGAGCTGCGAGGGGGGATGGGGGGAAGGCAATGGACGGGGTTTTGGGGTTTCCAAGGGGAGAGTGGGTGCAGGCAAGTGGGCGATGGGGATGGCCTGCTCCGTGCTCAGCACGAGCTGCGAGGGGGGATGGGGGGAAGGCAATGGACGGGGTTTTGGGGTTCCAAGGGGAGAGTGGGTGCAGGCAAGTGGGCGATGGGGATGGCCTGCTCCGTGCTCAGCACGAGCTGCGAGGGGGGATGGGGGGAAGGCAATGGACGGGGTTTTGGGGTTTCCAAGGGGAGAGTGGGTGCAGGCAAGTGGGCGATGGGGATGGCCTGCTCCGTGCTCAGCACGAGCTGCGAGGGGGGATGGGGGGAAGGCAATGGACGGGGTTTTGGGGTTTCCAAGGGGAGAGTGGGTGCAGGCAAGTGGGCGATGGGGATGGCCTGCTCCGTGCTCAGCACGAGATGGGAAGGGGGACGAGGGGGAGCACGGTACGGCATTTTGGGGAGCTTTGAAGGGTGAGAGAGTGGGTGCAGGCAGGTGGGCCATGGGGACGGCGCAGCACCAGCTGCCACACCACTGGGGGGAGAAGAGAGATGCAGGGAGGGCTCTGAGGGAATCGGGAAGAATTGGCGGGGAGAGAGATTTCGGGAAAGCATGGATGGGGAGGGGGGGTGGGGGGTCGAGCAGGAGCAGGGAGGCAGAAGGTGAGACTGCCTCAGCAACTACAGGCCAACAAAGCTATGCCCCCCAACTGTCCCTTCAGGCATACAGGCGTACCTGTGAGGAGGCGTACCTGTGAGGAGGCGTACCTGTGAGGAGGCGTACCTGTGAGGAGGCGTACCTGTGAGGAGGCGTACCTGTGAGGAGGCGTACCTGTGAGGAGGCGTACCTGTGAGGAGGCGTACCTGCGAGGAGGCGTACCTGTGAGGAGGCGCACCTGTGAGGAGGCGTACCTGCGAGGAGGCGTACCTGCGAGGAGGCGTACCTGCGAGGAGGCGTACCTGCGAGGAGGCGTTATCTCCCGAGTCGGTGTAGACGGTCTCCAGCTTGGCGATCAGCATGTCGTCTGATGCCCGCCCACTAGCGAGGGAGGTGGGGGGAACGGATGGGGGTTATGGGGAAAATACGTCAGATGGCTAAGCAACAATGAGTGGGCAAAATGAGTAGCAGCGGACAAATGACATTTTAAAGCAGACTTGTAGCAAGGAGCGCCTCAAGGTAAATCCACCCTGAGTTACGAAAGCACGACGACGTAGAAGTAACAGACGATTGAACGCTGCGAGCAAGTGAAGGAGAGCAGCTTCTAAGGAATGACCTGAAGGTGAGCGGGCTGCCATAGGCATCAACGAGCTTGGGGTGGCCGTGGTCGTCCCTCGCCCCCGCCCTCTGTGGGCGGAGGGGGATGGACGCATGGCGCATGGCGGGCGGACACACACAGGACAGGTGAGGGGAGGAAGGGGTGGGGTATACGGGGATGGGTGGCCGTGGTCGTTCCTCGCCCCCGCCCTCTGTGGGCGGAGGGGAGGATGGACGGGGCAAAGCAGGGGGGAGGATGGATGGCGCATGGCAGGGGGGGGGATGGATGGCGCATGGCAGGGAGACCCGAGCACACAAAGGGACCAGTGAGGGAGGGTAGGAAAGGGTAGGGTGGTGGGAGTATGGATCAAGAGTGATGAGTGGGTTGGGGAATGAGAGGGTGGGGAAAGGGAAGGGCTGGGGAAAAGAAAGGGGAGGGGGAGTGAAAGGAGGAGGAGAAAGAGGGATGGGCGTGATGAGAGAAGAAGCAAGGCAGTTTTTTTAAGATGCCATGCATGCAAGAAAGTTGGAACAGCCCAAGTCCTTGGGGGGTCAATCCATGCTCGCCCAGCTGTAGCACACACATGCAGGTTGAGCCCGGCTGTAGCACGCACATGCAGGTTGAGCCCGGCTGTAGCACGCACCTGCAGGTTGAGCCCGGCCGTGGCGGTCCAGCGGGGGCGGATGGGGCGACTGTAGTCCACCGACGCCACCACACGCGCGATCGTCACCCCCCCCGCCCACGGCCCCCCCGCACTGCCTCGTGTCCCGCCGCACCCCGTGCACCATCATGTCTGGCGTGCGCGAGTTCTGCCCATGGGGGATAGCACACAGGATTTGCAAGGGTTTGCATAGAGTACAAGGGTTCACAAGCACACAAACAGCTTCTAATGCTCTTTTGAGGCGCCTCAAAAGCCCCCCCGCACCGCCGTCCCGCCGCACCCCGTGCACCATCATGTCTGGCGTGCGCGAGTTCTGCATATGGGGGATAGCACGCAACAAGGGTTTTCAAGGGTATGCATAGATTACAACAGTTCACAAGCACACAAACAGCCTCTAGTCTAGTGTCCTTTTCAGGCGCCTCACTGCCCTCACTGCCGTGGACCATCATGCCAGGCGCACGCAAATTCTGCCCATGGGAAACCACACACAAGGGTTTGCAAGGGTTTGTATAGATTACAAGGGCCCACGGCTCCCCCCCCCCAACTGCCATCCCGCGTCACTCCGTGAACCATCATGCCAGGCGTGCGCGAGTTCTGCAGGAAGGCATGCAGGAGAGCGATGAATGGCCACGTGATATAAGTGAGTTCTTCTTGGGACGTCTCAGACATTCACTTGTAGCAGGAGAGCGATGGATGGATTATGGAATAGTGAAGAGTGCAACATGCGCAGCGTGCAGTGCATGAAAACCCACACCATTCCACACACACAGCGCATATCACCAAGTGGCACACCAACCACCTGCAGAATCAAGCATTATGCCAACCAGTGGAAACGCAATGAAGGCCCGAGCATGCATGTAGAGAGGTAGGTGGATGGTTGCACACGCAACACTCGCACAATCAGCTAACACACTCACCTGAATGTTGATGGCGCGCGAGGTGTCCTTGTCATCGCCCTCGATCCATAGGATGGGAGTCCAGCTGGCCATTGATGGCGGCACTCACATGCATGCTCGTGCCCGCACCACCTGCAGCATGGGTCGGCACCCTAAACACCCCACCCTGACTTGCCTGAATATTGATGGCCCGAGAGGTGCGCTTGTCATCGCCCTCGATCCAGGGGTGGCTGTACGAAGCATGGGAGATGGAGTCCAGCTGCCCCCTACACACCTGCACACTCAGCTGATCAAAGACCAACCTCCCTTACATGCGCAACACACTTACCTGGATGTTGATGGCCCGGGACGTGCGCTTATCATCCCCCTCAATCCACGGGTCGCTGTACGAGGCGCGGAAGATGGAGTCCAGCTGGCCCCTCTCCACCGCCACATTCAGCTTCTGGTTGCGCCCGCGCACGTTGCGGTGTGAGTAGGTGAAGCTGGGAGGGGTGGGGGTGAAGGGGGGCGAAGGTGGGGGAAATAAGGTGAAGGGGGTGATGGGGTTATGTCAGGGCAGGCAGGCAGTCTCTGAGTCGCTCCACTGCCACGTTCAGCTTCTGGTTGCGCCTCCTCACGTTGCGGTGCGAGTAGGTGAAGCTAAGGGAGGGGGAGGGAGAGGGGGGTGGTGTTCAAGGGGGGTGAAATGGGTGGAAGGGGGTTATGTGAAGGCGGGCGGTCTCTGAGTCGCTCCACTGCCCGTTCAGCTTCCAGTGTAAGTACGTGAAGCTGGAGTGGGGGAGGCAGAGTGTGGGGGGTTGTTGAGGGGGGTTGACGGACGGGCGACGGGGGGTGACGGGGGTATAAAGGGGGGCATGTGAGTTCAGCTGCCCCTCTCCACAGCGCTCTGTGGTTCTGGTTGCGCCCGCACACGTTGCTGTGTGAGTAGGTGAAGCTGGGGGTCAGGTAGGGAGGGGAGGAGTATAGGCAACATGACGATAGGAGCGAGAGGTGAGCGGGGCAAGGAACACGGGGTCTATGTTCCTTTAGTGCCTCGCTGCGATGCGAGGTGCGGGAAGGGCGGTGCGAGGAGGGCGGACTGCAACAAGCGATGCGCAAGGAAGTTCTAAGTGGAACGACGTGCATATGTGTGTGGGTGTTAATTCATGTGCAGGCACAAGTATTCAGGTACAGGCGTGTGGCGCGTATGTGTGCACACACATGGATGGTTCTACCAGCCTGCGTGCGTGTGACAGCCTACCTTGACGAAACACAGCAGCGCGTCAACACACACTCACCGCATCGTGGCATCTTGCTATTGTCCCACCATTCCACCATCCCCACCATTCCACCATCCCCACCATTCCACCATCCCCACCATTCCACCATCCCCACCATCTCATCATCCCACCATCCCATCATCCCACCATCTCATGATCCCACCATCTCATCATCCCACCATCTCATCATCCCACCATCTCATCATCCCACCATCTCATCATCCCACCATCTCATCATCTCACCATCTCATCACACCTCCACGCCATACCTGCCAATGAGGCCAGAGAGAGCTCCTCCGGATAGACTGCAGTAAGCACGAGCGGAAGAGGGGAGAGGAACGAATGCAGGCCGCGTGAGAGGGAAGGCAGGTGCGTGTGAGCGGACACGCTGCTATCAGCTAGATGTGGAACAAGCATGCGAGATGCAAAGAGAGAGCAGCCACCTCAAGGAGTAAGGTTGGCAGAATCAGGCACCGCAAGTCGCATTACCCAGTGCTCCCCAACCCACTGCCCTTCCCCCACCTACAGCCGTCGCCCTATCCGCGGCCTTCCTCTCCCCTTCCCCATCCAGTGTCATCCCCTCACTGCCCAACTTGACACCCTCCCCAGCACCAACCTCCGCCCTTCCAAAACCCTTCCCCCCCTTCCCACCTGCTGCCGGACAGCCCACCGCCAGCAGAGAAGCCGCCTGGCGGGCGCTCAACAACGTTCATGGTGAGGTCGACCATGCCCGTGTCTGATAGTGGGGTGGAAGGGTGGAGGGCCACAGGGACAGGTAGAGTGATGTGGTGTGGTGTGCCTTGGCTTGGGGCGCTAAGCGACGTTCATGGTGAGGTCCACCATGCCTGTGTCTGGTGGGAGGGGGGGAAGAGGTGTGGAGGGGACGGGGATCAGTGGCATGTCAGTGGCTACTTTAGAGCACTCAACGACGAAGGTCTACCATGCCCGTGTCTGGTGGGGGAGGGATGGGGGGGGGGGACGAAGGGTGCATGGGGTCTTGGCCGCTTCATGGTGAGGTCTACCATGCCCGTGTGTGGTGGGAGGAGGGGGGGGATTGAGGTATGTATGTGGAGGGGGGGCATGGGTGCGAATGGAATGACACGCTGTCGTGGAAACAAATGAGGCGATGAGGGGGGGGCGATGGGAACAAATGGAGTCCAGGCATGACCGTCTGTTACACGTGAATGGACGGTGCCCCACGTTCAATGACTATTGCGCTTCACACAACCTCCCCTCCCCCTTAACCCTACCTTCAGTCACCCCTTTGCACCATGATTCACCGCATGAAGGTACCTCCTACGTCCAGTGGCGTGTGGGATGAGGTTGACGTCCTCCATGATGCCCCCACCGTGCCCCACCGTGCCCCACTGTGCCCCACCGTGCCCCACCGTGCCCCAGCAGCAGCGTACCTCCAGGGGCGGGGTGCGGAATGAGGTTGACGTCCTCCATAATGCCCATGGTGAACACCGTCTCCACGTCCCGCCGCCCTTGTTGCAGGCTGTACACCTGTGAGGAGATGGGAGATGAGGGACGGGGCGGTACATGGTGGAAAGGGGGCATGGGGTGTAAGTCACCTCTCCTCCATAATGCCCATCGTGAACACCGTCTCCACGTCCCGCCGCCCTTGCTGTAGCGAGTACACCTGTGTATAGGAGAGGGAGGGGGGGGGGGGAGCACGGCCGCACAGGGTTTGGAGGCATGGGGGGTTGTGAGGCACCTCTCCTCCATGATGCCCATGGTGAACACCGTCTCCACGTCCCTCCTGCCTTGCTGTAGCGAGAACACTGTACACCTGCCGGCAACACGAACAGTGGGCATGGGGGAAAGCACGCGCATGCCACTCAGTTGTCCTCCACAATGCCGAGGTGACTTTTGAGTCGACTCAAAAGTCTCCACGCCCATGGTGAACACCGCCTCCACGTCCCCCCGTCCCTGCTGTAGCGAGTACACCTGCAACGAGGGGGCCCAGAGGGGGCATAGGAGGCATAGGGGGCAGGGAGGTATGGGGGACATGGGCGGTAGGCAGCTCTCCCCCACAATGCCCAACGTGACAACCGTCTCCACGTCCCGCCCCCCCTGCTGTAGGCTGTCCACCTGCACGGAGGGGGGGCGCCTGGGGGTGGGGGGGAAGGAGGGGGTAGGTGGGGAGAGGGTCCGTGAGGGTGGGGTGTTGGAGAAACAAGGTGCTCTGGCCCTGCTGCAGGGGGAGCGGGGGTACAGGCAAGTGTGCAGGGGGAACGGGGGACAAGGGATGGGGGTAGGGGTGGTGGGAGAAGGGGTGAGGCATGTGGAAGCAGAGAGCAGTCGCCGCGTCTCTCTCACATGCTCTCGCTGCACAGGGAGCGGCTGTCCGCCTGTGTGGCACACGGCCACTCAAATGCTGCGCCACATCCTCACATAAGCTCGGCACCTGGGCACCTGGGAACCTGGGAACCTGGGAACCTGGGAACCTGGGAACCTGGGAACCTGGGAACCTGGGAACCTGGGCACCTGGGCACCTGGGCACCTGGGCAGCCTCACGTCTGCCTTCATGCATTACCTTCTCTCCTGCCCCTTGTCACGCTCACCTGCCCCTTGTCGTGCCCACATGCGCTTTCTCACCCCACCTGCCACCTCTCTCGTCATGCACACCCACCTGCCCCTCCTCTCCTCATGCGCACCCACCTGCCCCTTCTTGGTCATGAGTTGCCTCAAGATGGTCTCTGGCCGCGTCTTGCCTGTCGTTGGCTTCTCACCTCACCAGTCCCTTCCCTGCAGGCAGCCGTTACTCTCCTCACGCGCACCCACATGCCCCTTGTCTCATCACGCCCACCCACCTGCCCCTTCTTGGTCATGAGTTGCCTCAAGATGGTCTCTGGCCGTGTCTTGCCTGTCGTTGGCTCGCCCCTGTGGCACGGCAGGAAGAGGGGGGGAGAGCAGCACACACACGGCAGGGAGGGGGGAAGAGCAGCACACACGCGGCAGGGAGGGGGGAAGAGCAGCACACACGCGGCAGGGAGGGGGGAAGAGCAGCACACACGCGGCACATGGGTGAACGACCGGCCACATCGTTCGAGCATAAAAGGTGCTTGGTCTTTCATTTAAAACGTCAACCAAATCCAGCACGAATGCTGACCGGGCGCAGAGTGCAGACCCGCAAACTGCATGCATGCATTCGGCAGGGATAACATTCGGCATGCATGCACACCAAACCAACAGAGGTCTCACGTCTTGCGGTCGCGGAACTTGATTGTGATGTTGTTCACCTCTGCCTCTGCCACCTTCGAGGTCACTGTTGAGTCGGCTCACAACACAAGTCACCTCTGTGTGTGGAATGGAATCAAAGGGATGTGACCGTGTGACTCACGTCTTGCGGTCGCGGAACTTGATGGTGATGTTGTTCACCTCTGCCTCCGCCACCTTCACCCGCACCACCCCGTCCGACAGCAGCTCCACGTCCGTTACCTGGTGGTGGGGCGCGGTGCAGTGCGGTGGAGTGAGGTGGAGTGCAATGAAGTAGGGTGGGGTGCGTGCGCACAGCCATGCACAATATCAACCCACATCCTCATCCCACACAGACATCTCTTGTGGTCAAAGTGATGGTGAGCGCGCGCGCATGCACGCGCGCGCGCACACACACACACACGCACGCACGCACGCACGCACGCACACACACACACACACGCGCGCACTCACGTGCACAAGCACACACACACACACACACACACACACACACGCACGCACGCACGCACGCACACGCACGCACGCACGCACGCACACGCACACGCGCACGCACGCACGCACGCACGCACGCACGCACGCACGCACGCACGCACGCACGCACGCACGCACGCACGCACGCACGCACACACGCACACACGCACACACGCACACACGCACACACACACACACACACACACACACACACACACACACACACACATACACACACACAAAAGTTATACGCGTTCAGGCCATAGCGGTTCCATGTGCAGTTGGATCTGCGCGGTTGATTCTCAAGCCTTACGTCACCGCAACGCAACTTATACACGCCACGAGCGGCAAGGGGTGAGGGTCGAGGAGCAGAAAGCGGGGAGGGGAGAGTGAGGAGGAGGGAGAGGGGAGACGAGCACACACCTGGCCGAAGAGCCCTCGGTCGCTGTACCAGCCGTTGAGCACATCCAGCACCCCGTTGAGACGCTGGATGTTCACCACCTTGCCTGGTGGGGGGGAGGGGAGATGGATGGGGGGAGGAGATGGATGGGGGGAGGAGATGGATGGGGGGAGGAGATGGATGGGTGCGGGAGAGGGGGGAGGTTACGCGCGTGCACGGCCGTTGAGCAATGAGCACATCCAGCATGCTGTTGAGGCGCTGAATGTTCACCACCTTGCCTGCCTGGTGGGGGGAGGGGAGATGGACGGGCGGGGCACGCTCATGGGCAGATGGGTGGGTGTGGGAGGCGCTGGATGTTCACCACCTTGCCTGGTGGGGGGGGGGGGGAGATGGATGGGCGGGGCACATGGATGGGCGGGGCACATGGATGGGCGGGGCACATGGATGGGCGGGCACGCCCCATGGGCAGACGGGTGAGGGAGAGGGGGGAGGTTACAAGCGTGCAAGGCTGCTGAGCACATCCAGCACACCGTTGAGGCGCTGTAAGTTCACCACCTTGCCTGATGGGGCGAGGGGAGATGTGACGGCAGGGCGGGGGGGGGGGGGAGAGGGTTGTTGAACAACGTGTGTGGTTGTGCTGTGTGTGCCGGGTGACAGGGAGGCAGTTATAAATGGACGGTGCACACGCGAAGCAAGAGAAGTTGTGTGCGTGGCAAGGGCGGAGAGGCGATGTGAGGGTGGGGGGAGGGGGGGAAGGAAGGGGGTTGTTGGATGACGTGTGCGGTTCTGTTGTGTGTGCCGGGTGGCAGTGAGCGAGGCAGTTGACGTATGAGCAATGCACATGTGAAGCAAGACAAGGTGTGTGCGCGGCAAGGCAGATGAGCAGCAGTGGACGCAGGTGAAGCAGGAAGAAATAAAGGTATAGTTTGCCGGTGAGCATGCAGGTCAAGTTAGCAGGCAAGGGAAACGGCGGCGGGCGGTGTGTGCATGTGAGCGTGCAGGTGTTAAGCAGCTAAGCGTAAGGGTGGGCGTTGGGTGGGCGAGTGTGAGCATGCAAGCATGTGAGCAAGCAGGTCAGGTCACGGGCGTACCGTACTCGTCCCGGAAGGCGTCCTCAATGACACGTGTTGGCAGAACATTGGCTCCCACGCACATCAGCCCCTTCATCTCCTGATTCGCCTCCACCTGCCGTCGTGCCACACGGTATGACGCGGTTTGGTACGGAACGGTATGGTAAGGTAGGGTATTGGTAACACGGTGGCGATGATACAACAAGAGTGAAGTTGAATGCGAAGTGGGTGGGAGGATGAGGTTGCACGGGTTGATGAGAAGCAGTGCCAACAGCACACTGGCTGCTGAGAGTGTGCTGTGACGCACATGAGGCACGTGCACGTGGGGCCATGCGCGCCTCACGTGGGGCCATGCGCGCCTCACGTGGGGCCATGCACGCCTCACGTGGGGCCATGCACGCCTCACGTGGGGCCATGCACGCCTCACGTGGGGCCATGCGCGCCTCACGTGGGGCCATGCACGCCTCACGTGGGGCCATGCACGCCTCACGTGGGGCCATGCACGCCTCACGTGGGGCCATGAGCGCCTCACGTGGGGCCATGCACGCCTCACGTGGGGCCATGCACGCCTCACGTGGGGCCATGCACGCCTCACGTGGGGCCATGCGCGCCTCACGTGGGCCCATGCACGCCTCACGTGGGGCCATGCACGCCTCACGTGGGGCCATGCACGTCTCAACGACTCCTCTTCTCTCCCTGTTGTTCGCCACCACCACCCTGCTGCTCTCTCTGTGTGCGCCTGCCCATCCACCTGCCCACCCATGCATGCGCGCCCGTACCCTGCTGGATGGGTCCATGTGTGATCGTCCACCCACCCAACTATCCACAAACCCTTCCACCCATAACCCTTCCACCCATAACCGTTCCACCCATAACCCAACACCCTCTCCCCCCCCACCCAACCCTCCCTGAAAATGAGTCTGATGCCATCACGCGTGTCCTCTGCAGTGGGAAGGCAGCTCGCGAAGTACCCCGTGTCGATACTCCGTCCTCCTGCACCTCGCGAAGTGGCGCAGGCTGCCCACCCCCACCACCCCGCAGCATGGCTCCATGCGGGATCACCACCCACTCACCCGGAAAATGAGCCTGACACCATCACGGGTATCTTCAGCAGTGGGCAGGCAGCTAGCGAAGTACCCCGTGTCAATGATGCGATGCACGTCCTCCTGCACCTCGCGCGTGGTGAGCGCGGCGTTGGCCTTGGACACCTTGAGCGCGCCCGCCACCACCCGCAGCAGCTCCTCGTCCTCCACCTCGCCGCCGTCCTTGTCGCGAATCACAATCTCGCTGATCAGCACGCGCTCCTCCTCGGGCTTCCCCCCGCCGCCGCCGCCACCGCCGCCGCCGCCGCCGACGGATCCGCCGGGTGCGGTTCCGCGGCTGTCTACTGTCCGCGCGGGGGGGGTGCTGCCTGGGGGGCCGCCGCCCCGGCGTCTGTGTGGCATTCCGCGGAAGTGCGGCGGGCGCCACTGCTGCGGGGAGGGCGGAGCGGGGGAGTCGTCGTGCGGGGGCGGGGCGAGGGGGAGGGAGAGCGAGGCGAGGGGCAGCGGCGAGCGGGCGAGTGGGGAGAGGGAGGGGGAGGGGGAGGGGGAGGCTAGGTGGTGCGCGGGGAGTAGTCGGGCGGCGTGCGCCTGAAGGCGGTTTAATATCGCGCCGCCCTTGCTCGCCAGACCATCCACGAAACCCGCTAAAAGAGCATCGCTACGAGCCAGTTGTCGTGATTCTATCGACGGATCGATCGCTTCTGTCCGTTGTCCGCTTATCGCGAGCCTATCGCCGGCCGTGTCTCCACCGTCCAGTGCAGGCCTGCCCGCGTCCCCTCCCGGCCCGCTCCGCATTCCGCGGCGCGCATCGCGCCACGCATCGCCGAGCTTGCTCGCTGCAACGCGAAGGCGGGCCGCAACCTCTGAGTGAAGTAATCGAGCTCTAGACTGTTGCTCCCCGCCACTGCAGGGCGGAAGGTGAGGTAGCATAGTGGTTGTGGCAGTGACGGAGCGCGAAGGAGTGGAAGTGCTAGGAAAAACTGCCTCTCCAGGTGCTGCTGTCTAAGTCAGTGGCTGCTGCTGCTGCCGTGCGCGCTACTAAGGCAGCAGCGCGCTGCTGCTGCTGCTGCTCGCTCTAATGGGGCCGCGGGGAACGCTGGGCAACGAGGCAGCAGGGCGCGCGGAGCGGCAGCGTAGCAGGGCGCGAGATTCGACGGGGCAGCGCGGCGCGCGGGGCAGCAGGGTAGCAGAGCACGCTAAAACAATAATAAAAAACAAAAGTAAAAGGCCGCGGGGCGCGCTAGAGAACAAGGCCGTGCGACGCGCTAAGAAACGGGGAAGCGGGGCGCACTAGGGAACGTGACTGCAGGGCGATCTGGAGCTAACTTAGCTAGGGTGGGCTAGGACTTTGGAGATTAGGAGGCAAGCAGAAGCGAATTAAAACCCAGGGTCCACAGGTTTCAAAGGTAGGAAGGTTGGTTGGACTTTGTGCCAAAACCAAAGGTAGGAAGCTTGGTTGGACCTTGTAACCCAACCAAAGGTAGGAAGGATGAGGCAACTTCGGGAAACTTGAGACCCCGGTTTTAACATAGCGAGGGATACCATGTCGAGGAGCAGAGTTAGGGCGTGTTACATTTTCGATATTTTCCAAAACGAACCGGACCGTCCGAACGGTAAGAGATCTTGTTTTGACACTATAAGGAATTTTCTCGGCATCCCTTACGGAGTTCGGCTACATCGCGTACAACACTGTCGTTTGTTTCGCCCGTTACTGCTAACGGGACTTCGCCACTTCGCGCGCACTGTTTTACCAAACCTCGCACTGCTGGCCCGGCCGTGTCGGCCTACGCTTCGGGACTAGCCCGAGCCTCATTGCCAGCGTAGCACTAGCTAGCTCGCACGCACCGCGTTACCGTTTGCATGTTCGCATACAAATGTTCGCTCATGCCTTCGCTCACATCTTTGTACTCGTTTGACACTCTAGTGCAATCCTCGCTATCTCGATCCATTGCACCCGTAACACTTGGTATTCGGAGCTTCTTTCCTTTCGGACCGCGCATCTCCGCACCCCAGGAAATCAACTTTTGATTTTTCACTCGAAGGGACGCACGCACCTTAGCCCCTAGGAGCCGCTGTCCTCGCGTTCTCTCGTAAACGCGTGCAGCCACGACTGCGCCTAGACTAAGCTGAGCCGACGCCCTTCGCCATGGCCGAACACATCGACGTCACCACTCTCACGCAGGAGCGTCTGAACGAACTGCTACAGCAACTTCGCGAAAACTCCGAAGAAATCGCGGCGCTGACGGCAGAACGCTCGTCCCTGCAAAACGACCTCACGAGAGCACAATCTCAAGCACCTGGCACTCCGGAGCAGCCCGCACCCTCGACATCGCAACACGGAAGTGTGGGGCAACCCGCGAGCGCGGCTGGTGATGGCGTCGTCCGCCCCGACGGAGACGACGACCACGGCACGACACGCCCCGAGGCGACGAATGTGGCCCCAAGCCGGCCCCGCGTCACGATTTCGGCACCGACTCACGATTCGGAGCTGCCGTCACCGATGCCGCTGAAGCCGCAGCGTCCGCCATGCTTTGACCCGAGTCAACGGGGTGGTCCTACCGTTCAGGCGTGGTTGTTCACGATGAACGTTTTCTTCGACGCCAACTACGTCTCGGAGGATACGGCGAAAATTCGCTACGCCGTGTCGCTGCTGCGAGGACCCGCCATGGATTGGTGGCGCGTCATCGTCACGAAGCCGAACGACTACGCGACTCTACCGACACGGGAAGGACAAACCGGACCCTGGGCGCCGTCGTATTTCGTGGAGGTGCCCCAATATCGCACGTGGGACGCGTGGTGCGCAGGTCTGCGCGCTCGATTTGAGCCAATTGCGGCTTCGATCGCGGCGCGACAGAAGCTCCGCACTTGGCGCCAACTCGGTTCCGTCCAAGACTACACGAGCGCGTTTCTGGCGCTATGCGAGCAAGTGGGATACATGCACGAGAGCGAGCGCGTCGACCGCTACATCGGCGGCCTGAAGCACGACATCGCTCAGGAAATCCAGCTTCGCGGCGTCACCGACTTCCAGGAGATTCTTGCTGTCAGATTATGTTATTTGTCTAGCCTGCAGTGGGGTGCTCAATAGTGAGTACAACCCCTTTAGGGTTTCCTATTTGTACCAACCTGCTTGCTAGTTCAATCATCCTCCATCATTCCTCTTCTCCAATTCTCCTTCGCATACCCAAAACCCTAGTCCTAGGGCACATCCTACTACCTCTTAGTGTGGGCCTAGGCTACTAAGCCTAGGCCCCACTCCTATTGTTTCTAACATGGTATCTAGAGCGAGCACGTTCCTGCCGCTTACCTCTATGGGCCCACCACCTGCTTCCGCTGCCGTACTGTCCGCCGCGCGCCCCGTGGTGCGCGGCGGCGAAACCCTAATTTTTCATCCCGCCGCGCCCTCGAAGCGTGCGGCGGTTTTCTGCCCGCCGTGCGCCCCGAGGCGCGCGGCGGTTTTCTGCCCGCCGTGCGCCCCGAGGCGCGCGGCGGCTTTCTGCCCCGTCACTCCGCGCGTCGCCCCCGGGAGGCGCTGCGACGGGCGACGGGGACCCGCGCGTCGCCCCCCGTCGCCCGTCGTGGCCCGCGCGACCTCCGTAGGGCCCGCGCGCGGCCCGTCCAGCCCGCGCGCGGCCCGTACGGGCTGCGCCAAGCCCCCGCGCGGCCCGTACGGACTTCGCCAGACCAGGGCGCACCTCGAGCCGCCCGCCACTGCAGCAGCAGCCCCTGGAGCCGCCCGCCACTGCAGCAGCAGCCCCTGGAGCCGCCCGCCACTGCAGCAGCAGCCCCTGGAGCCGCCAGCAACTGCAGCAGCCGCCCCTGGAGCAGCCGCCCCTGCAGCAGCCGCCCCTGGTGCAGCCGCCCCTGGTGCAGCCGCCCCTGGACCCGCGACGCCGCACCTGGTGCAGCCGCCCCTGGAGCAGCCGCCCCTGCAGCAGCCGCCCCTGGTGCAGCCGCCCCTGGTGCAGCCGCCCCTGGACCCGCGACGCCGCCCCTGGAGCAGCCGCCCCTGCAGCAGCCGCCCCTGGTGCAGCCGCCCCTGGTGCAGCCGCCCCTGGACCCGCGACGCCGCACCTGGTGCAGCCGCCCCTGCAGCAGCCGCCCTTGGCCCCTGGAGCAGTCGCCACTGCTGCAGCTGCCCCTGGACCCGAGCAGCCGCCCCTGCAGCAGCCGCCTCTGCAGCAGCCCACGGCGCCGACCCTGCAGCTGCATGCGACGCCGCTCCTGGTCCCGGTGCAGCCGCCTCCTTTTCCTGTCACCCGCAGTCTTGTTCCTCTCGTTCTGTATGTGTCTTTTCTTGCCCACTCCGTGTACGTTCGTCTTGTTCGTGTATTTGTTCGTTTTGCCTGTGTTCGTTTGTACTGCCTACCTGCGCTGCGCCTCTGCACGCGCCCTGCCTACCTGCGCTGCGCCTCTGCGCGCGCCCTGCCTACCTGCGCTGCGCCTCTGCGCGCGCCCTGCCTACCTGCGCTGCGCCTCTGCACGCGCCCTGCCTACCTGCGCTGCGCCTCTGCGCGCGCCCTGCCTACCTGCGCTGCGCCTCTGCGCGCGCCCTGCCTACCTGCGCTGCGCCTCTGCGCGCGCACTGCCTACCTGCGCTGCGCCTCTGCGCGCGCCCTGCCTACCTGCGCTGCGCCTCTGCGCGCGCACTGCCTACCTGCGCTGCGCCTCTGCGCGCGCCCTGCCTACCTGCTGCTGCCCGCGCCCTCGTGCGCCCTGCTGCAGCCCGCGCCCTCGTGCGCTCTACTCTCTTGTGCCTCGTGCCTTGTGCCTTGTGCCTTGTGCCTCGTGCCTCGTGCCTTGTGCTCTACTCTCTTGTGCCTCGTGCCTTGTGCCTTGTGCCTTGTGCCTCGTGCCTCGTGCCTTGTGCCTCGTGCCTTGTGCCTCGTGCCTTGTGCCTTGTGCCTTGTGCTTCGTGCACTTTGTTCTGTTATGTTGCCCACCCCCCCCCCCCCCGTCCCCTGGACAGGAGTGTGGGGGTGACAGGTATGGGGGTGCTCCGTGTGCGTCGTCCCTTCCTCCTCCTTCGTCTCCCACTGCTGCAGCTGCCGCTGAGGGGGGTGGAGGTGTGGGAGCCGAAGGGAGTGGCGCTAGGGGGGTGATGTGGGAGTGGAGCTAGAGGTGAAACAGGGGATGTGTGTAGGGGGGTGTGGGACAGTTGGAGGAGGCTGCAGCACCTGTAGTCCGGGGCGCACTGTCCTGGTAGCTCAGAGAGCCTGCTGCGCCTGTGTGTCTGCAGCTTCAGTCGTCGTCTCCAATCTTCTCTCCCTTCACAGTTCCTCCTCCTCCTCACTTGCCCTCTGTGATAGCCTCTAGCTTTGCTGATAATTGTGAACTTTTGATGTGACTGCTGATTGTGCTGATTACACCCCACTTTGACTATGGGGGTGTGTCAAATTATGTTA